ACCATGGTCGGAAACTCGGATTTGGGGAAGAATTGGTGACGATGGTGTCGAATGTGCTAATTTACCAAATCACACTTGCCGAGGCTTTCACGTGTGTGGGTTTGTGTTCGTGTTTCCAGAGCAGTCCATGCTGGCACATAAAATTGCACCTTTTCTAGGCTATCTCGGTCACTAGAAGGCGGACAATTGGAAGGTGATTCAGACAATTTACCCACGTTCCGTCACCACCCCTTCCTTCCCACCTCCCTTCCTTCCCCAACCTTTTCGATGATTTTCAGTCACTAATCAAGCCCATCATTTATGTCTGCTTTACAGGCTCCATTTGGTCTTTACCACAGTACACGGCTTTGGTGATGTATTTTTATTACTTGTCCGGTGTTTCGATGGATGAAATGAACGTTAGGTCATGCCCTTTGCCCTTTTGTTTGAGACCTTTATCTCCCCTCGGGGAGGACTTTATTGTTGAAACAATCGTGCCACACTTCCCTTTTAGCATGCGCATCATCATCACACTCTTCCCTTTCTATGCACGTAGATCTCGACCGCGAATTTCAATTGGAACCCATTCCCGACCAACTTGTCAAAGGTCAAAGACTTCTGCTGTCATGTCAACCACCGAAAGGTGAACCTGCGCCCAAGGTAAACCTTTCACATGTCGTCAAACATCCCACCATAGTATTCCTTCAAAGTTCGCAAGTTGATGTAGAGCTGGTTGACGAAGATGTTAGTGTGGACGCCTATCATCAACGGCTACCTTCTTTGTTTACATCAAGTCACTCGGTTCATTCATATTCACATAACTTTTGCCAAGGTGTGTTTAACAATGTCACATTCACGTGTGTACGTTTCACAGCTGATAATTTGACACGTGTATTACTAGCATCCCAAATGTGTGACGTATACACCTCATCAATTTCTAACACCTCCAAAGGTATCAACTCGTGGTGCATACACCTCTGTGGCGTATTTGACAGTTAGTGGCTTGAGGAAGGGGATTGCCATCCTTGCCTTGAAAAATATTTGGCTTCTTTCATAGTGATACAAAAAAAGGCATTTCAAATTACCAAAATTTGGCAGACGAGGCAACTTCTCACTTGTATTGTCTGTGTTGGCTGAATGCATGATCATGGTTAAGCATTGCCTAAAAAAGGACGCGTCAAAAATAGATCTCGCATGTCATTGGCAAGAGTTGACAGTAAGCTGTCCCATTGTCTGCACATGGACAATGTTCCACCTTTTGGCGTCTGTGCCAGATGTAAGGTTTGCCCAGTTTGACATGGAAAAAGGTCATTTTAAATGTAAACATTTTAGGAGACATTTTAAGTGACCGTTTTGTCAGTCTCATTTAGGGCGGTGGAAACGTAGTGTGTTACGTCTTCCTCATTTCCCTTCCCACCGCCCCCCCCTCCCTCCACCATACCAACGTTTGAGATTTGCCTTAGTAAAGTTTCTACGGTAAAATGATTGCTTCATCAGTGTTCCAACCTCGAGGGATTCCAAGAGAATTAGCAATCAAAAATCTTCCTTCAGACTTTGCTCCATTCCCATTTTCAGCAGCATCTCGGGTGCTAAAAGCTTATCAACTCCTGCTCTCAGTCTAAAGACAATTGTTTGACATCTTTCTATCTTCTACTTGGTGGGTGCATTTTTTTCAGGTAGCAGAAAGTAAGTTATGCCAGTTAGCCGTCCAGCCAGTTAGGTAGCATGCATGTACATGTCATTTGGCCCTGTGGCAGCTGTAATTCGTGTAGCAAACCTCTGTGTGTGTGTGTGTGTGTGTATGCGCAAGTCCAGGAGAGATACGAACTGATGGACAGGTTGACAAACTTGACGACAACTTTCGTGCGAACTTCCAATACGTAGGCAACAGAAGGTTTTGTACTGACGCTCCAACTTTTTCCTCCCTCTCCTTCTCGGTTGTTTTCTCATTTGCTTTCGCTAATTGACAATCGAAATGTGTGAGCAAATGTGAGTTGTGCAGAAACAACCCTGCTTGACGGAGGCACAAGTGATTCAATCACCTAGTCGGAGAGATTCGGCGTCTTTGAATTGTCGTTGCGCAAGTTGTGGACTTAACTGACTGTTTTATGCGACAAGAGCCCACCGTCTGAGGTCGCTCGTCTTAGCACAAATAAATTAGCATAAATTTGAATTTATTCTGCTAATTTGCGTGCGATCTGCTTCATGGTTTGAAGCGATAGGTTAGTTTGCCCTGTGTGTTTTAGGTCTACTGGTTGAAGAATGGCAAACGCGTGGAGGCACAAACCTTCCCCCACATCATCATCGATGACTACAACCGGTTGATTATAGAACAGGTGGAATTACAGGACGAGGGTAATTACACTTGTGTGGCAGACACCCTGGGCTTGGAACAGCGTTACTCCACCGCGGAGGTCACGGTGCTTCGTAAGTCATAAAATCGTCACTCACCAGGCTTAGTCGTCCTTAAGGGCAATACACTGTTGCTAAATTGCTTCGTGAAGGAAGTAGGAAATGGGAATGGACCAAATTTCACTGCTACTTACCACTCC